ATCGTCTGGCCAGGCCTCCTGGGATCATGGCTTGGGGGGGGCTGGAGGGGGGCAGGGAGTCGGGATTCCTCTCTCTCCCAGCTTGTAGGGAGGGGCAGGGGGAGGTGAGTAAAACGAAACAGACTGTGGACTCTTCTACTCACTGTGGGTCATCTTCTGTCACCACCCGCTTGAGGAAGGCCAGGAAGGCCTCGCAGAAATTCATGCACACGGCCGGCTTCCAGCAGCCTTGCTCGCCCTGTGGGGGAAGGGAGCAGCTTTCAACCAGGAGGGGCAGGGGGAGGTGAGTAAAACGAAACAGACTGTGGACTCTTCTACTCACTGTGGGTCATCTTCTGTCACCACCCGCTTGAGGAAGGCCAGGAAGGCCTCGCAGAAATTCATGCACACGGCCGGCTTCCAGCAGCCTTGCTCGCCCTGTGGGGGAAGGGAGCAGCTTTCAACCAGCATAGAGGTGGGACGAGGGCCTGGCACGCGAGGAAGAGGCAGGGGTGCGGGAGGACAGTGGAGCCGGGAGCGGGAGGGGTACCACAGAAGGGCCATAGACACCGGCCGCCCAGTGCCTTTGCGGTATCCGGCTCGAGGGAGGGTGTGGCTTGGGGCACGGAGGCCACGCACCCCAGGGGGCAGGAGGGTGCTGGGCTGGGGAGGGTGGGCGACACACCTGTAGAAGATGCGGCGCTGTGCCTGGCTGTGCATCTCCTTGCACGTCTTGAGCTCCACGTAGCAGGCGGGGGGCGAGGGCCCGTGGGGGTCGGTGCAGTCCACCTCCCCGGCGAAGAGCAGCGAGTGGGGGCCCAGCCGCGTGCGCACCACTGTGCAGAAGGCCTCATTGGTGTTCACCACGCCCGTGGGGTCCGGGCTCCCGTCTGGCGTGTCTGGGGGTGGGGACAGCACAGGGCGCCTGGGTTCTCTCCCTGGCTGGGAGGGGAGCAGGGGCCAGTGGTTAGAGCGGGGCGGCTGGGTTCTAATTACCGGCACACATGTAGTGCTCGAACTTGTAGCCCATGTAGGCCAGCTCCTGCAGCATGTCGGAGCGCTGCTCCCGCTGCTGCCGGGCCGCCGGTGTCTCCACCTCGCTGACGTACAGCGTGCCGCGGAAGAGGCTGACGGCCCGCAGCCAGCCCTCGTGGTTCTCGTAGGGCGTCGTCAGCACCTTGGTGAGGTGCCCCCGCCAGGTGATGAAGTCAGCGTTCACAGGGCGCCTGCAGGGGAAGAGGCAACGGGGCCACATGCCCACCATCAGTAGTGTTCAGAGTTAACATAAGAACGGCTGGAATGGGTC